CATAATTCGTTGGAATAATGCAAGCAAAACATGGCGGAGTTACGTAAAAAATGAAGAATCTTAATACCGCTAAGTTTTAAAACATATATTAATAAATTGTATATTAGTGCCGAAGCTAAAACGGCTTACGAAGAAATCTCTAGCTATTGAATCGCTATACGCGTATCAAATGTTCTGACCAATTACATTCGTTAGATTCACGAGTTCGGCGAGGATTTATATTCCACTCGTTTGCCCTCTGGTAAAAATGAAGTTATCGTACATTTTCATCTATAAAAAACTACTTTCCCGGACAGAATTCTGAGATACTTTCCTGACCATCTATAATCTCGATCCTTTTCTACATATATTACTTTTGGGTTCGTACAAAGACCTCACTCACTAACAATTTACTTTGGTTTTGTATTGGGTGAAATTTTGGAAACAAAAATGTATCGAAAGTTCTTAATGTCAACTTACCTTTATGTGTAAACAGAGACAGATACGTATTGTGCACACACACACACACACACACACACACACACACACACACACACACACACACACATATATATATATATATATATATATATATATATATATCAAGTATGTAGTGCAGTTCAATTTACATTACATGAATCATTCATACAAAAAACAGATATAGAAGTTAATGATATAAATGTCGAGAATACATCCTCGCAAACAAATTTAATAAAGTACATTAACCCCGAACCTGTAGATGAATGTTATGATCCCTGTTTATAAATTCCAGTTGCATGAAGTCTTTTTTTATTTTTTTACAATCTTTCATTTGTGAATATAGACATCATCAGTTATGGAAATAGAATTGTTTTTTACTTCCTGGTAATAACAGGACAACGAAAGAATAGATGTAATCCGAAATATGTTTTCAGAAATGTGTTATTGTTAATTGTAAGAAATTATTTTGGAGGGTGCGCTCGCAACGCTTAGGTTGAATTTTTAAATGTTAAAATTGCGCGTTTTTGTACTAATATGGTAATAGGAGAATTCTTTTGTACTGGTAGGTTTTTCAGTCAATGTGGGTTGAACTAAATTGTTCAATAAATAGGTTAATGAAAGTTGTAAAAAAATAAAAAGAAGACCTTATGCAACTGGAATTTATAAACATTCATCTACAGGTTCAAGGTTAATGTACTTTATTAAATTTGTTTTCTGAAGATGTATTCTCAGCATTTATATATTTAACATTTATATCTGTTTTTTGTATGAATGATTCATGTAATATATATATATATATATATATATATATATATATATATATATATATATGTAGATAATATTAGTTGAAAATATACATATGCAAAATATATAAATACCCATACATGTATATTTTCAGAAAAAAAATTTTCCAAGAGGAAGAATCCAGGTAGAACTCAATGTCTAGGACAGAGTAAGGATATAATATATATTTTGAATTTGTAAGTCTGATGAATTGATCGTATTTACGATTCCAGTGGAATAAATTATGACCATGGAATATTAGTGTTTTTAGCCTTTTATTATATATATATATATATATATATATATATATATATATATATATGATATATATATATATATATATATATATATATATATATATATATATATATATATAAATAAAAGATAGAAAGATTGTGAACCTAGTAACCAAAACTGTATGATGACTGTCGGTTGATTAAGCGTCTCATAATATAATGCCTTATCTTCGAATAGATATAATGAAAATGAAAACACTAATAACGATAAAATAATTAATAAAATACAATATTGATGATTTATTAAAATGTTGAATGAGACAAATAAAGTTCAGTTTACATATAAATGGTCAAAGGTTAAGCTTTTGACATCAATCATAAGAGCAGAAGAAGGTCTGTATAAGAATAAGATTACTTAGAACAGGTAATAACATTAAACAGATAACACAATGAGGTAATAAAACGACGTATAACGGTAGTTTGGAAAGCATTTCATAAAAATAGTGATATAATTTATATGATATAATATATAGCAATATAAGAAAATATCGTGTCAATAAGATTAAAGCAGAAAATGTAAAACCACTAATATAATGGTAATTATGATATACCAGTATAAAACATTGAATGTACAAAATATTTTAAAACAAAATTACATTAGCTCAAATATCAACTGAAAAACGTATAACAGTTTTAACATGAAAGCATTTCAACATAGATCCAAGTTCAAGATAAGAAACATGTTCTATGGTAATCTTAGTTATAATATTAGCTGTTTCCTTACAAAGAAACATTCGACATTAGTTGACCGAACGAGCAATACGATTTTCCGTTGAAATTTATAATTTTTCTGTTAAAAAGTTTTACAGGAAAATGATTTTCTCAAGTTCAGTAGCTGTTATGACTCTGTCCAATATTGATTGAAGTTTTCTTCCTAAATGTCTTTGTGTTTGGTTGGAATGTCGATATCTTCATTTGGTCATTTTTTTTTCTCTTTCAATTATATATGATGTCCATTTTAAATGTTGCTGCTGTTGAAAGTCTTCAGGCCACGAGGTTTCTGTTACTGGGTACAGTTCTTTGTGATTTCGTAGCGCCAGTCCATAAGGTTTGAAAAATAATATTCTTCACGAAGAGCAACCGGCATCACTGTCTCAAAGCCATTGATCTAAGACAACGATTTTATACGCTTGACAGTTTAGAAATATTTTAAGGTGTTTAGCGCTATGTTATGACGTCATTATGAAAGTCTGTATCTGATTAGGCTGTTTAAGAACACTATTATAAATCACTCCCCAATAAGTTATATTTGAAAACTTGCTTGATTTTGGCATCCTTAATTTGTAATTCGCATATTGTTTTTGTTTTCTTTCGCTTACAATCGTAGATTCTGCTTCACGTAATAAAACTACCATTTCTTAATATTATTTTCCACAGATCTTACAACAATGTCACCATACATTTCTTTACACCAGTCATATGCTCCTAGCGCCATTACATTTTTATTTTCTTATATTAGTTTCTTGCACGTTGATAAAGATCTTACTTATTATAAAACGCAAATTGTGTGTGTGTCTGTACGTTTATATATTGGATCGGATTTCCTACATTTTTCAACCGATTTCAACAAAACTTCACAGGACTACGTAAAATTATCTTGCGGTGGTTCTGACAGCGCCAAAAATTGGAAAAAAACACAATTGTTTTTGCAGGAAATCAATTTTAAAACACGATTAAGAGGCATCGCGAGAATGAAAGGGAGACAACTCATATCGAGTTATACTTATTATAAAACCCAGGTTGCTTGTGTCTGTGTGTGTGTGTGTGTTCGTTTATATATGTGATCGGATTTCCTACATTTTTCAAATCGATTTCAAAAATAAACTTCACTTTTTTGGCAGGTAGTGTTTCTATTGTCTTGCACACTTTTTTTCTTTTTATTTTTACATTCAGAATACTTTAAAAATTCCATTTACAAGAAAATTGTTTATAATAAAATTCTATTCAATCGGTAGACTCATAACGATTGAAAACAATGTTTTAAGTTTGAGTTTGGTTTTGACCAATTCGTAAACAGAAACAAAAAAACAAAACATAAAAAAATAATTAAGACATGCGTGTCCGTCAACCTTAAACAATAATCTTTGTCAATTTTATTTTTCAGTCTTTATGATGGTCGATACTTGATCTATCTCTTACTGTTATATCCCCGGGCAACGCCGGATCTACTGCTAGTATTTAATATTTGCAAGATTCCTTTCCCCATTGACAGGTTTCAGTTTTCTCTAAAACAATATTGCATGGGATTGAAACTCATCATTACAGGCCATTTTTAAACACTCCCTTTCCCATTGTTTCTGCTTGGCTTAAGGTCTTTTTTTCTGTACTGAACAACGTATGGCGTCGATTTATTACGACGAATAATAAATTTCACTCTAGAATACATTTCTAAGGCTCCGATTAAATGACAAGTCCCGTAACGTTTGCGATTTTTCCTGTACCTCTGGCAGAAAAGAGCATCACAATATCAATGACTATACAGAAGGTTTTATTATAGGTAGGTGATAGTGGGGATACCAAATGGAAAATCATATACGTTTCATTTTATCTAGTGACTAGAAATTCCTTCGCTGTCACCAAAAGAGCTAGTTTAGTTTGCACTGTAGAAGTTGTTCTAGGTTACTCGTCAAGTTGACGAACGAATCTTTTCTTTTATTTTCAGTCTTAGTTCATTCAATATATTGTCGAAAGGTCACTCAAGGTAGAGAAATTTTTAATGGAGTAGGGAGAGTAAGAATTATGAAGACGAGTATAATGGATATCAGTTGATACTCGACTTAGAGACACTAGCCGTGTTTTTCTTGTTCATATAAACGTTTTAAGATTTTTCTCACAAATTTCCCACATTGTTGACATGTATTGTAGCTCGTGACAGTTGCATGCTTAGAAAATCTTTAACACTAAAAAATCAATTTCTTTGGTTATATCTTTATATATGTTAGATGTCATGGGTTTGATGATAAAGGCTTTTTGAATTTCACAAACAAATCAATTGTCTTCAGAAAGAATATTTTCTTGCAAACCGTCTTCACCAAAACCGTTAAATCCAATATTCCCCTTCGTGGAATGGTTTATTTTGATGCCATTAACGATAACAAGAATAGAGCCAAAATATGCCTTTACAACAGGGTTTTAAATATATTACAAAACGCTGGTGCACTTTTATTCAAACCTTTCTAAATATTCTTTTTTAAATTGAGTGAGTTGTTTTTTTTAACCTTTTCAGTTTATTTAAAGCCAGAAAATATTGTTATATTGTTAGAATTACTTGATACAAGTACAGGAGAAGATGCTAATTAACCCATATCTGGTGAAGAAGTGGATTCATACCATTCCCAGGGGTATTTTGCAAGTAAACTGATATTACGAACTTGACTGGAATTAGAACCCATCTCTCCGATTTTTCATTTCCGAGCTGTTATCCTTTACACCAACCGCACATCCCAGGATACAGCAGTTAGTCCAAACGGTCACCCATCTAGGTACTAACCAGTTTCGACATTGCTTAACTTCGCTGATCGTTCGAGAACCGGTGTTTCAACGTGATATGGCCGTAAGCTAATATGTTTGAAAGGCCATCTGTTATGTGCCATGCGTCATACGCACTTAGGCGATCATGTATCTTTCGATACATGACTGACAAGGCAGATTTTTTCCCCGAAGTAGGTTGCCATTTCTATCTGCGGTAGACCAGTTGCCACCCAAGGCTAAAGAACTCGGTCTGTTCTACTATTTACCCCTAGCTGGTGGGGAGAAGAAAGATTTCGCACCTTTCCCAAGGGTATTAGCACGTAAGTGAATGTAATGGATTTGACTGGAATTCCAAAAACGACTCAGGAAGTATATTAATATTAAAAATCGTGATGAAGAGACATATATTTTTACCATGTTGGGAATGTGATAAATTTGAATGTACTGTCTTTGTATAAGAAGAAAACCGTCTTAATTGTTGTGGCCTGTTATGGACCAGAAAGAAAGATACGGAAAGATGAAGGTAGGTCGAACAAGTGTATTGAAATAACAGAACATATATACAAAATAAGAGTGTTATAAGTCAGCAGATAGAGGTGTCCGTCCGAACTGTCAGGTTAAACTGCATCTTGACTGCCAATATTTATTTCTGTTAAAATACAGAAAGTATGGCACAAGGTCTAAAAAGGGGGATAGGGAAAAGGACTGTCTTTATCTGTCTTAATTTTAAACTCTCCCAAACATACAAACAATATTCCTAACACCAAAACAACACACTCTTACTTACCTTTCTTACTACATTCACCATAATGCCTCATTGTCTCTATTAAAATCCTAACTACTCCTCATATGTTCAATTCGTCGTCTGTGTGGGAGAGGGGAATAAAACAACAAGTTAAGAAATCCAGAATGAATGTGTACAATATGAATATAATCTATTTACAAGAAACTAAGCAAAATCATGTTAGTAATAAAATCCCCACAATCCTTAAATGTGGCAGAAACATCAGTTAACTGGACAACATCGATGCGGGATTATAATAATATAGAAAAAAATCATTCATCCCAAGTACTCACATAGACACGCACTCATTCTGACACAACAACAAATACGAAAAACACATAATGCGAAAACGAAAGGCACCCTGCATCCACCAGAGAACTGACATCACTGACCACATAACGAGGGAAGGGATGGAGAATTGAACTAAAGAAAAATAGGGACAGAAAAAAGGGGCCCATGAGCAAACAAACCCTAGCTAAGTTAACTGGAAAAAAAGAAATATTCAAAAACAGAACTAAAATAACCTAAATTCGGGATGGGTTGCCCAAGTTCAACCCAGGAATAACAAAATCCTGATGCCTAACCGGCATCAAAATGCCACTCTAGATCAGCCAGCCTCTTTCACTCGGCACAAACGCGCAAGATTCACCCACCTTTTGCAAAATTCCTATGAGGTGAACCACCACTTTTCCGCCCTAATCTTGACGTTAAGCCGATGTTTAAAGAACAAGAGCATTTGTGAAGAAGTGGACTACTCGCCATCATAGAATTACTTCTGACACCTAGTAAGCATAAGAATACATATAGTTCAGCCTTCGTCAACAGCGGTGCCATATTGCTACAAACAGAAGAGGCCTCAAGGACAAAGTTCTTTCTTTGCAGACCATGAGGCCTTCAACAAACTTGCACAACGGCGCTACCAACCTGCAATGAAAGAAAGCGTGACCAATGGCCTCGACTTCACCATCAGAGCGCCGGCAGTTTGGAGATTACTCCAAGCCCGCTGAACAAATTCTTTTGGCGACCCAGACGGCCCCACGAATCACCAGCCAGATGAGTGATGCCTCACTGTTATTGAGGCATTTCAACTCGGGCGCTTAGGGCCATATTGAGCGAGCCTCCTGCTTCAGAAGACCGAGCTCATCAAACAGCTCATCACGAACGAACCTCCTGAGTATCACTTGATATAATGCCCTACGAGACAACGCCTGGATGTTGGAGAGACCACCCAACGCCCATAAGAGAAGTTTCAAAGCACGACGACATTCGCTGTAGAAGGAGAATTCGGCTCGAGGTAAACGTTGGGCCTCCTCCTCGCTCGAGTGCACACTTCTCATGTATGGGAAGTTCTTACGGGCGTCTTCCTTCCAGAAGGTACTCTCTTCATCCGATTTGCGACACATTCGTTCTAGGAAGGCGATGCGAAACATATATTGAGGAATCTCAATGTTAGGCATAACCAGACCGCCCTGAGAAGGCAACAGATCTCCCAATATATCATAACGGTCTTGTCTCTCCACAAGAAAAAGAACAAGAGCCTTACTAATGACATTAGTGTGGCATACAGAAGTGGAAGTACAGATAGTCGCTAAAGGAGAATCTATTAGATGTGTGAAACACATACTTTCACCTTCCCCTTCAAGGAATGATACCTCCGAGACCACAGATTAACCACAATCTCGGTCTTCCCTTGTACCTCCAACCAATTCATTTCCAACTTGATTTCAGGACCGAACCAGACCCCGAGTAACTTGACCAGTCCATCCGTCCGGGGGAAGGTCCGGGAAGAGAAACTCCCTTCCACGCAACCAACCGCAAGCCAACAGACTTATCACGGTTGATCTTAGCCCCTGTTACCATATCATAACCACTCGCTTCTTTGCTGACTTCGTCAAACTCGGCTCTGCTCGACACAAGAACCGAATGTCGTCAGCATAGGCAGAATACCTGACCGAGGTGGTAGCACCGGGCAGGGAAATTCCGCGCAGGACCGGATTCGTCTTTAACTTACGAAGGAAATGTTCCAACGCAAGAAAGTAAAGCAAAGGCGAAACCGGACAACCCTGACGAAAGGAGCGAGACAATACCAAAGGCTCCGATCGTACACCATTCATCTCCACCAGCGCACCGGGAGTTGCATACAGAAGTCGGATCCAGGTGCGAAAGTACGGTCCGACACGGGCCACCGAAAGGACATTTTCTAGAAATCGATGGTCAACCCTATCGAAGGCCTAGGACTTATCTTAATTGATGAGCGCGTCTTCACTGTCGACTTGCTCGATGATCAAGCGCACCATGTGAAGGTTGTCCTGAATAGTCCTACTCTTCACAGCACAAGTCTGTTCGAAGCCAATCAGACTAGAGGGGACAGCCTGCAGACGGATGGCTAAGATTTTACCGAAATCTTTAAGTCTGTATTCAACATAGTTAAAGGGCGAAAATTACCTAACCCATACACACCGTTCTTGTCCTTGCTCAGCAATTTGATCACACTCTTGGTGAAGCGTTGAGGTATAGACCCCTGCATCATTCAGTTGTTGTAGATCAGTTCCAGCAAAGGAAAAACACCGGGAGACTGCCTCAATTAAACTTCGTACAAAAGACCATCAAATCCAGCCTGTTTCAACGCTTCCTAGTTTTCCGACTATGTGATAGGACCGTCGCACCTAGCCGCTTCAGCTGCCACAAGAAAGGGGAAGTCGGCTAAATAGGCTTCGAACTGAACAGGGCTCACACCAAGATTCCTGGTAAAACGTTCCTGAAAGTAATCACGAAAAGCCTCACACATGCCCGCGTTTGTAGTCACGGTCCGCTTATGTGACGCATGCGATATTTAACCGAGATGCATTCTGGGACTATTCTGTGCTCAATTCAGTGGCCATATTCATCGCCTCAGAGGACATTCTTTTTAACCTAGCCCTAACGACCAGAGCTTGATCCTTCTTGATAAACAAGGAGGACAAATCTTCATTAGCTAAGCTATTTCACCACTATCACGAGATTTCACTGCCCGATCGACTTTTTGCTCAAAAACCGTTAGCGCCGCTATTCTATCTAGATAGAGTCGACGACTCAAATCAGCAACAAACGTGGAACAACAAACGAATATCCAAACGTGGCAGAAAAGCGGTTGCTTTAAATCTGGTAATTCTCGCAGGTTAGTATTTAGTTAGTCTTAGGAAGTCGATCAGTTTAGTAATTATGAAGGAGGAAGAGTTCATTCTAATGTAGATATATCACCATAGCAATAATATATATGATACGTCAGCCATTTGTACAAATAAATACTGACTTGATTCTCAAATGAAATACATTCAAGGTGCCTGCAAAGGGTTAAAAATGACAACGGCAAGACCCAGCAGCAGAATAATTTAATCAACGTCGAGTTACCGATCTCTCCAATGACGTAATAAGATGGCGTAAATGGGGATATTAATCGAATATTTAATATTTAATATTTGTGAAACGTTTACAGACCTTAAGCCAACTAAAGTGACAATAAAATTTAATTTCGGAAAAATTGTGCTTATCTTATAATATCTTTGGGAAAATGAATCTCAGTATCGATAATGGAATTTTGAATTTAAGAAGTGATTATATTGATGTGTCAGTAAAATCTCTGTGTGTATGTCATGATTATTCATTCGTGTTTCTTGCAGCCAACTCTCACTGTTTAAAGTGACATTTGATTTATTTTTATAACTTTCGGAGTGAAGAATTCGACTTCCCCATGTTGATCTACGAGTCATTGCTCAGTTTTATACCAACCATTATTTCGATACTTATCTGCCTAATAGAAATAATATTCCTATTTAAAATATATCGCTTCGGTTTGGCTTAAATAAAGCCAGGTGTGTTGAATTTGCCTTTTCAGTGGATAGAGACTTACTTAAATCATATGTGTTAACGATAACTATATCCTGGTCGCTAAACCCGTCATTTTATAGAGACAATATTCCCTCGGTCGAGTATTTTGAGCGTTGATACCAGGTTGTTATGCCGTTAACTATCGGCGATTGTTGTCGGAATAGTTAAATGCTTCAGAGTATAAAGAATATACGCTACTACCAGAATTGCAATGAATCGCAGAACTGTGTATCATTGTGAATGCTGCTGTAGTTACGAAGTCTTCAGCAAGCAATTATTAATCAATTTGCATTCTGGATGTTTTTATCGAAGTGGGTAACGTATTAATCGTATATCAGCTTTCCGTTGAGGTAACAAATGACATAAAGCGATAAATTGTAAGTGCTAAAACCCTTGCCAAGTGGGTAGACCCTTCAGCGCGGCTTCACTGTCGAC